AGAAAGACACAGAGAAATCTTCCGTTCACTGGTTCACTGCCCAAATGACTACAACAGCCAGAACTTAGCTGATCTAAAGTCAGGTGCCTGGAACTTTCTCCAGTTTCCCGTGTGAGTACAAGGCCCCAAGGACTTGAGCCATCCTCTGCTGCTTTCCCAGGCCATAACCAGGGAGTTGGATGGGAAGTGGAGCAGCCGGGACGTGAACCAGCACCCGTATGGGATGCTGATACCACAGGTGGACACCCAGCCCAACGGAGCTAACCCCTTAAGGGTTATTTTATAATATCTTTGATTATTCTTTTTCCCAGTTTTAGTAATGACTGAAAAGTCAGGAATACCATTTTAATTCCTTTTTGTGGGCCTGGCACCGTGGCCTAGCAGCTAAAGTCCTTGCCTTGAAAGTGCCGGGATCCCATATGGGTGCCGGGGGTTCTAGTCCTGGCGGCTCCACTTCCCATTTAGCTCCCTGTTTGTGGCCCGGGAAGGTAGTCGAGGACGGCCCAAGGCCTTGGGACCCTGCCCCTGGGTGGGAGATCTGGAGGAAGTTCCTAGATCCTGGCTTTGAATCGACACAGCACCGGCCGTTGCGCTCACTTGGGGAGTGAATCATCGGATAGAGGATCTTGCTCTCTGTCTCTCCTCCTCTCTGTATATCTGACTTTGTAATGAAAATAAAAGAAATTTTCTTTTAAAAAATTCCTTTTTAAGAGTGATAATATAAGTTTTAGTTTTAAAATATTTTATTTATTTATTTGAAAAGACAGGGTTGAGATGGGGGAGAGAGTGTTTGAGAGATCTTCCATCTACTGGTTCACTTCCCAAATGGCCGCCATGACTCTGTCTGGTCCGGAGCAGAGACAGGAGCTAGGAACTCCATCCACACCCGTCACGGGGTGACAGGAACCCAAGCACTAGATCCACTTTCTGTTGATTTTCCAGGTGGACAACACTGCCTGCCTTCTACCATTTTATTCCTGAAAAGATATAATTTTAATTTTTAAAAAAGATTTACTTATGTATTTAAAATGCAAAATGCAAGTGGAGGGGGGCATGGAGAGATTGAAAGATCTTTCATCCCCTGTTTCACTCTCCAGATGGTCACCACGGGCATGAGTGGGATCCTGCCCAAAGCCAGAAGTCAGGATCTACATCAGGGTCTCCCACATGGGTGACAGGGGTCTGAGCACTTGGGCCATTGCCAAGTGCTCAACGGGAGCTGGATGGGAAAGGAAGCCACAGGGAGTCAAACCATCAGTGCACTGTGGCATGCCAGCATTGCAGGTGGCAGCTTATCTCAGGGTGCCACATGGCCAGCCTCAGGATATTATTTTTAACTATCTAAAAATAGGGCTAACTCACTGATAAGGCATGTAAAAACACAGAAAGGAAATGTAGTTTGGGCACTGAGCTTTGTTGGACTATGAGATAAGAGAAACGAGGTGAAAAGAGCCCAAGAGAGCCCATGTGCTCTGGGCAGTCTCTATTGGCCACATCCTCATCCCAAACATCCTCACTCGTCCTCCCAGGGCTTGGCAAAATCCCCAGCCGGCCTCTCCAGGTATTGCCAGTGCACTGGGAAAGTTTGTCACTTGGTTGTTGAACTTGTTTCTTGAAGTGCAAGGAGCAGATTTTTCGCTCTGGTTCTCTTGCCCTCCGTTCTGTCATCGGCAGTCCAGTGACTCCGTGTCACCTGGGACATGGTGGGGAGGAGGGGAATGTAAATCTTGTCTCAGGCAGTGTTTGGTTTAAGGGTTCCCATCCAAAGAGGGGTTTCTCTCCCACCATCATCACCATCTGTTGGCTGCCTTCCCTGCCACCTGCCATGTCTTGACCAGTCTCCACTTAATTCCCATCTCCATAGAAGGGGAAAACCATCTTCTACTCCCTGCCCTCCTGTTGCCTAAATAGCCACCTTTTTGTTTGTTTAGTTCAATCACTTCTTATTTTTCCTGTTGATCCATGTGAACAATTCAGGGTCAAAATTCTTGCAGGTGAATATGGGAAACTTGTGTCCAAATAATACATTTTTATGATCTCAAATGACATCTGTATCATTTTCCTCCTTCAGAAGATAGTCTCTTACTAGTTTCTCTCTCATTTGAACATGCAGATGTCATTTCATGGTCCCTCACATTTGGGTAAGTTTTGGATGTATGTGGAATTGCTCCACCTCACACAGATTTGGTTCCTTTATTTTTTCAAATCAGAACCTGGGTCAATCCCTACCCAAAGGTGCTGGTTATATCCCCAGTCTTGGCAATTGCCATTCTTGTCTTCCCTGGAATCGCTCAGGAGTATCCCAGTAGCTGGGCCAGCCCAAGCAACCAGAACAGATCTTAGAGCTTTAACACCTATGATGCCACGTGTTACAGACTGTCCAAAGCCAATGAAGTTATTTCTAATTGTCAGGTGCATACCAAAACTGATGCTGGAAGCCTCCCCTGCCATACCTAGCTGGCTTACAGTCTGAGAAGTAACTCCACCACACACGCAGGCACATACTAGCATGCCAGCAAAGTGGTCGTTATATTGTCATGCCGGAGACATCTCAGTTGTCCTTCTGACATGGAAGCTTTGCTGACAACAGGTGCAGCAACTGACAGAACAGGATGTGGGACCCAAGAGATACTTGGAACTCATAGCCAAAGGCTGACTGGTGGGGAGAGAAGGGTGTTGTGGTGCAGCAAGGCCAGCCACTGCTTGAACTGCTTGCCTCCCAAGAGAGGACCTGCTTTGAATCTAGCTTTCCACCAGTGCACACCACAGGAAGCAGCCAATGTTGGCCTGAGTACTTGGGTCTCTGCCAATCATGTAGGAGACCCAGATGGAGTCCTCTGGGCTCCTGACTTCAGTGTGGCCCAACCCTGGCTATTAAAGACATCTAAGGAGTGAACCAATGAATGGAAAATCTCAATAGCATTCTCTCTCTACCTCTCTCTCTCTCTCTCTCCTCTCCACAGCACCCCACTCCCACCCCATCTATTGCTTTTTCAAATAAATAAAAATAGACAAAACACTTACAGGTAATTCTAAAAAGCAATGAAATGAAATTGGGCATCTGGGCTCCCCAGTTTCTCATTCCTCTTAGAGTACAAATGCCTGGGTACCATGTCCAGTTAATATTTTCCACCAAAGCGAAAGACCCTGCAGCATCCACGGTTGTCCTCCAGCAGCCGTTTCTAGAGCAGCAACATTGGATACAGGGTCTTTCCATGCTTAAGAAGCATGCCTTGGGTGCACATTACTGCTCTCTTGCAAAGTCAACTGTATCTTGGGGGAGCATGTGAAACCCAGTGCATGAGCTTCTGTGTGTGGCACCGTTCTTCCTAAATTACTCTTAAGTAAATGACAGGCGACAGAGCCTCCTACTCCCAGTTTCCCCCCACCCCCCCGCCCCCGAATTCCCAGCTCAAGGCCTTGGTGGTCCTTAAGCCCTGCCCCTCGCTGCTTCCTGCACCCCTTGGCCAGGACAGCGCCCCCTGCCCCCAAGGACTATGCATGTGCAAGGCCCAACACACTGTCCTCCCAGTGTCTCTCTCTTTTTTTTTTTTTTTTTTTATTGTTGTTAACATTGTATTATGTGATACAGTTTTATAGGCACTGGGGATTCCCCCCACCCCTCCATACCCCTCTCCCCATGGTGGATTCCTCCACCTTGATGCATAACCACAGTTCAAGTTCAGTTGAGATTCGTTCCTTGCAAACACATATCTAGCATAAAGTCCAGCGTCTTATTGTCCAGATAAGTTCAGTGGCCTCTTGGGGAGACCTTCTCTAGTCTGAAGATAGGGCTAACAGAGTAAAGATCCGGTCAGTTAAAAGCCCCAACAAAACCTCAGTATCAATATACAACATTATGGAATTAATTGACATAGTATTGGGTAAACAATATGTTAAAAATAATGCAAGTTCCATTCTTCGAAACATCTGGGTTGAGACAGTATCAATGAAGGGACCACTTTGTGGATCTGACCCCAGGGAGCCCGCACTCCTCCACCAAGACCACTCTTATGCAGCGCCTCCAGGACGACAAAGCCCAGATGTCCCAGAACTCAAAAGTTCTTGTCCCTCCCTCTCACCTCTGTCCCTGGGGCCCGGACTGATCCCCCCCGCCAGTGGTGCTGCCTTCTCACAGCGCCTCCTGGTTCTCCTGTGGCCATCAGAGAATGCTCCTTGTCATGTGCCCAGGCCTGGGCAGGAGGCTAGCCTGGCTTGTCTTTTTCCTGAAGTCCTATCAGTCTGGTCTGGGTGTCCTCTGCTGAGTAGAGAGCCTGTTAGGCATTGGGGTTGGTTTCTGGGCTCAGGCTAATCTCAGGATGAGGCAGAGATCAGCAAACAGAACCCAAAGCCCCCGCCTGGGGGGAGAGTGGTAGAGAAGAGTGGAGAGTTTGATGAACAGAGGAGGGGCCCTTGGGAGCTGTAGGCTCTTTTTTTTTTCTTAATTTATTAATTTTTATTGGAAAGGCAGATTTACAGAGAGAAGGAGAGACAGAGAGAGTTCCATTTGCTGGTTCGCTCCCCAAATGGCTGAAACATCCAGAGCGAGCCAATTTGAAGCCAGAAGTCAGGAGCCTCTTTTGGGTCTCACACATTGGAGCAGGTTCCAAGACTGAGCAATCCTCCACAGCTTTCCCAGGCCACAGCAGAGAGCTGGACAGAAAGTGGAGCAGCTGGGATTAGAACCAGCACCCTATGGACTGTTGGTGCTTGCAGGTGGAGGATTAGCCAATTGGGCCACCGCACCAGCCCCAGACTCTGATATTTTCCTTAAGGGGGTCATTAGGTTCATGGGTTATATTTCATTCGCCTTTATTTGTTACATTTACCTTAGGATTCTTTGATTGGTTTCAAACATACTTGAAAATCTGCTGCTGCTGCTGCTGTTGTTTAAATATATGATACCTGCCCAAATCCTTTGGGGAACAAGCTGGGGTGTGAACAGGTGGATGTGGCACTGCTTACAACAGCATCCTTCCTCTGATGTTTTCTCTCCTCAGCACCTGGTCAACATTTCCAATGAAGACACCCATATTCATATCTTACCTCCGCAGACCAAGTACTTCCAGATCAGCTATGTGAAGAAGGTGAGTGCCACGGGAGTGGTGGTGGAGGGCGTGTCCTCCACTCTTGTCCCAGGCTCCTTGACCAGGTGGTGGGCTTCTGTGTCTCAGGCCTGCCTGGGTTGTCACACACACACACAGTGCTGCTGCCTGCCTGGTCTGGAGTTCCTCCCAAGAACAGCCCCCCCCCAAACCCTGCGTGTCTTTCAGAACCACCACATTGTCCCTGGCTTGTCGCTCAAGGTCACCATTATGTTTTCTCCAGATGAGTGGCGTTACTATTACGACTGCGTCCGCATTCACTGTAAGGTCTGTACATTTCTGCAAGTTATTTTATTTTTATTTTAATGACAGGCCAAGGTGGAAGGAGGAGAGATGGAATGAGCACAGATCGTTTTCTCAACCCAGTGCCTGGTGGCCCCGGGTCAGCAGGCTGACAGCAGGGAGGCTTGTGGCCTGGTGACATGGGTCCCAGTTGGGAAAGTGTTCATCTGCCAAGAACCTGGGCAAGGTCAAGAAATACCCTTGGCTGCGGGTTCCCCACTGCCCTGTGCCTAAAGCTTCCATTGCCACGTGTGATTGAGAGCTGATGGAGGCTTTGTTAAATAATGTGTTGCTCTAGATACAGGGATGTAGTATGATTAACTACACTGGGGGCTGCCCCGATTGGTGTGTTGGGGAGCTCCCTGGAGGGCAGGGGGGACACTCGCAGCCTGAACTAGGGCACTATGCAATTGAGCTTTTAAGAACCTTTTCAAACTCAGCTGATTTTACTTGTTGGCCTCCCATCAGAACCCAGCGCCACCTGTTGTCAGCCCTCCTAGGACTGTACCTGTAACCCCCACCCCACCCCTCTGCTCCACATTCCAGGTCAACCATGTCCCCTTGAGAACTGTTAAGGTTGACCAAATCCCTCAAATTTCATTAGAATGAGAAGGCATACATTTGGCCTAATGGTTAAGATGTCAGATAGTGTGTCAGCCTTTGGGTTAAACTGCCACACTTGGGACCCTTCCCTCCTGTATCAGAATGCCTGAGTCAGGCTCACCTCCACCTGCCAGCCCAGCTTCCTGTGCTTCTTGTGCTTGGGAGGCAGCAGGTGCCGGCTCAAGGACCCAAGTCCCTGCCGCCCACATGGGAGACCTGGGGGACGGAGTTCTGGCTCCTGGCTTCAGTCTAGCAAAGCCCTGGCTCTTGTGGACATTTGGAAGTGACCCATCAGGAGGAAGATCTGATTCTCTCGCTCGCTCGCTCTGTCTGCCGCTCTTTCAAATGAATAAAAATTAAAAGAAAATGAGAATAAGAGTGAAATAGAGAGACGGGGCGATGCCTGCAAGGATGCCTGCATCCCATATTGGGTCCCTGAGCTTGAGTCTCAGTTCTAGTTCTTGATTGCAGTTTGCCACAAGACAGACCCTGGGAGCTGGGGTTGATGGTTCAAGTTATCAGATTGCTGCCACCCACGTGGGTGACCTGGATTGAGTTCTTGGCTCCTGGCTTCAGCCCAACCCAGCCCTGCCTGTTGTGTTGGGCATCTGTGGAGTGAATCAGTAGTTGGAAGATTTTCACATGCACACATGCTCTCTATTTCTCTCTCACGTTTTCATTCTCCCTCTTATTCTCCTGTTCTTTTAAAAAAAGCTTCATTTATTTTTATTGGAAAGGCAGATATAAAGAGAGGAAGATCTTCCATCCCATGGTTCACTCCTCAAGCAACCACAATGGCTGGAGCCAAGCCAATCTGAAGCCAGGAGCCCAGAGCTTCATCTGGGTTTCCCACATGGGTGCAGGGTCCCAAGGCTTTGGGCCATCCTCGACTGCCTTCCCAGGCCACAAGCAGGGTGCTGATGGGAAGTGGGGCTGCCAGGACTAGAACCCCCGGCACCCATATGGAATCCCAGGATTAGAACCCGTGCCCATATGGGATCCTTGGTACATTCAAGGCAAGGACCTATCGCACCGGATACTCTCTTATTCTCCTTTTTGCTCTGTCATTTGTTCCTCTTTTTCTTAAGAAAAAGTTCAAGGATATAGATTAGGTTAATAATTAAGGGACCTACAAGTTCATCTTTAGAGATTATGGACTTCAGAAGGTTAAAATTGATTTGTTTTGAAGATTTATTTTTATTATGTTTTTATTGGAAAGGCGGATATACAGAGAGGAGAGACAGAGAGGAAGATCTTCCGTCCGATGATTCACTCCCCAAGTGAGCGCAACGGGCCGATCCGAAGCCAGGAGCCTCTTCCGGGTCTCCCACGCGGGTGCAGGGTCCCAAAGCTTTGGGCCGTCCTCGACTGCTCTCCCGGGCCACAGGCAGGGAGCTGGAAGGGAAGCGGGGCTGCTGGGGTAGAACCGGCGCCCATATGGGATCCCAGGCGTGCAAGGCGAGGACCTTAACCACTTGCGCCACCATGCTGGACCCAAAATTGATTTTTTTTTGTCTTATTAATTTCAGGGAGATGACACTTTGCTTGTTCCCATCCATGCCTATCCTGTCATGAACTCACTGGACTTTCCCAAATTCATAAATTTATCCAATGTTCTGCTGGGCGAAAGGTGAGTTGCGAAAACAAATCAGCAAAAAATGTCATAAACACTTGACAAGTTGAGAGAGAAGCACGTATGTAAACATTTAGGCTTGGCGATTACCCTAATGGGAGTTTATCTTTCTGCCTGGATTAGACAAGACTTGGCATTGAAAAAGGCAAACAAACCCACGTCAAAATATTGGAGGCAGGCAGGTGTTATTGCGCAGTAAATCAAGCCTCGTCTTGTGGAGACGCCCACATTCCTACACCAGGGTACCTGGATCCAGTGTCAGTTAGTTCTCAATTCCAACCCAGATTTCTGCTCGTGTGCTTGGGAGGCCGCAGGTGAGCAGATGATGGTCTAAGACTTGGATCCCTGCTGTAGGACCCGGTTGGAGTCTCTGGTTCCTGGCTTCAGCTTGGCCCGGCTGTGGCTGCTGCAGGCTTTCAGGGGAAGTGAGCCAGCAGGTGCAGGATTGCTGTCTGTGACTGCTTCCTTCTCTATTTTACTCTCCCTTTTTAAAATAAAATTATTTACTTATTTATTTTTATTACAAAGGTAGATTTACAGTGGGAAGGAGAGACAGAAAGATCTTCCATCCGTTGGTTCATTCCTCACATGGCCACAACGATCAGAGCTGAGCCAATCTGAAATCAGGAGCCAGGAGCTTCTTTTAGGTCTCCCATGCTGTTGTAGCATCCCAAGGCTTTGGGCCATCCTCTACTGCTTTCCCAGGCCACAACCAATAGCTGGATGGGAAGTAGAGCAGCCAGGATCCATATAGAATCCCAGTGCATGCAAGACATTTAGTCACTGAGCCATTGTGACAGACCCTCACTCTATTTTTCCAAGAAATGTTTTGATATCATAAGCAGGCAAGAGAATTGTAGGGAAGAGTGGTTTGACTGAAGAGGTATGATCTTCAGGCATGGCTCAGTCTGGGAGTTTCCATCAGTTGCAGGAATTGAATTTGCTGCATGTTTTGGTTCTGGTTGCCCCATGTTTGGTTTCTGGTCCATAGCCTCCCTCCCCTTTAGGGGACAGGAAGCTTCTGGAAGCTGCGTAGTGTGGCATTGGGAGTGAGTGGAACAACAGCAGGGGCTGCAGAAGCCGGGCATACTCAGATCAACCCAGGATTGAGTCTTATGGCATCTACCTGGATCCCAGCACCACGTCTGTTTTTGAAAGGATTACAAAGTTAACAGAAACTCACTACGGGAGCTAAATCGCAGCCTCTTCTCATCCCTTTGTTCTTGTTAGGAAATGGCCAATGATTCCAGTTGTAGTTTACTATATGCCTTGATCTTTCTATAAGTTAACTCATCAGATGTCTACTGCCAGAGGCACAAAGAATGTGGATGCTGAACAGCTAGATATAGACATATAGCTGCCATGCCATTTGTCACAGTATTGAAATATTTCTTTGCCTACTGGATAGTACAGATGATGCTGAATCTCCCAGACCTCCAGCCCACCTGCCCAACCCCATCCCCTGTACCCCTCCCCCACTCCACTTCTCAGTAACTTCAGTAAGTAAGCAGTGAATACCTGGCCATCTGGGGGCTGACAGGGCATCTTCTGTCCACTCTGATTGAATGCTGCCTGTAAGGTGCACGCTGATGGACATTGAGAACATTTTACCCAGGGCAAAAAGCATAACCAGGCAGATTCTGGTTCAAATGTGGTCCATGCCAGGCAGGTGAGGCAGGATCATTGAGTAATTTCTCTGATTCACTTCTATGTATTTATGCAAGATATAGAGAGATAGAGACAGACAGAAATCTTCCAGCTGGTTCGCTCCCAAAGCGCCCACTATAGCTGGAGCTAAACTGGTGTGATGCCAGGATCTAGTAACTCAGCCTGGATCTCCTATGTGTGTGTCAGGAACTCAGCAACTTGAGCCACCACCACCGCCTTGCAGGAGGACTGCAGCCATCGAAGCGCTGAATTCCTTTTTCAGAACCTAGAGTTGAACCCCAGTATTCTGATCTGGGTTTCTTAACCAGATAAATGCTCATTTCTGGGACTTTGTTTAAGGGCTAGCAGATGCTAGATGCATCTTTGCCCCCCAAAGGATGGGCAATGACCAGGAGCTCCTGCAGCAAAAACAGGAGCAGGTGAGGTGCAGGAGGGACTGAGTAGGAGCATTGAAGGTGCTAATGGCCAGCCGCATGGGACAGCAAGAGGGACATCTACACCCTTCTGATGGTGGTGGAGCTGCCAGAGTGACGCGGCCATTTCTTGGGTGCAGCTGACATGGGAGCCTCTTTGCCCAGCAGCACACCTCCCTGCTGAGTTTGTGACTCATGACCTCTGCTAGCTGTCACTTTTAAACAACGCTTTAAAAACTGTGAACAACACACAGAGAACAGGGAAGAACAACTTGTATAGTTTAAGGAATAACAGCCATGACTACCGGGATTAAGGCGTAACACGAGACTGGCTCTGCAATTCTTTCACAGTCACCCTCCTGAATCTTGTTGTCCTCATTCCCTGCGTGTACCTTAATAGTTTGGAAACATAGACATGCGTCCTGAAGTAGTACACCATTTAGATTTGCCAGGTCCCATTCTTTGTAAACTCATTCTACGTGAAGGTTCTGTTGTTGATTGCTTTTCTTATTTTGTTTAAAACTTCACCAGTAGGTGATTGTGGCCCATCCATGCTGATGCAGGTCGCTTTGGCTTGCTCGCATGTGTGTCCACTGGAAGGGTATGTGCCAGTTCTTGCTCTACTGCTGATGGGCCTATGGGTTGTCTCTACTATTTTTTTTAAGTATCTTTTAGTCTTTTCTGACTCTTTTAAAAAAGAGTTTATGCTCATTTTATTTGAAAGGCAGAAGGGTGAGAAAGAAAAAGATCCCCCATCCCCTAGTTCATTCCCCAGAAACTCCTGGTTGATCAGGAGCTGAGGCTCAATCTGGGTCTCCCATCTGAATAGCATAGATCCAAGCACTAAAGCCAGCACACCTGCTGCTTTATAATACAGACATCAGTCTCTGCTCTGAGGCTTCCCAGGGGCTTCCCTCTGACTGCTTTGTGCAAAAAGTCCTTTTTCTGTACAGAGAATGAAACTTGTGGCTGAATAGTTTATTAACTGAGTTGCTGTGTATGAATGTGTGCTTATGTATCTGAGTGTGTATGTGTGTGTACATGAGTGTTTGCATTGACATGTGTGAGTGCATGCATAAGTTGCATGAAAGGAATGCATGTGTGCACACATTTGTATACATGCATGTGCATGTGCAATTGTGTTCATGTATGAATATGTGCATGTTGAATGCAATGCTTGAGCATAGGCTTGTGTGTACACACTGAAGATGTAGTTTTCAAAATTGCCAAAACCGTATAAGATGAATTGCCATCTTACCCATTTCTAAGGTTACAGGCCCACAGTGTTTATGTATATTGTTGTATAACCAATCGCCACAATTTTTTTTCGTTTTGCAATAATGGAAACTCCACATCCAATAAGCAATCCTCAACTCCCCTCTCCTGCAAACCCCTGTCCTCCACCATTCATATTCCTGTTTGCTATGGATTTAAGTCTGCGCTGTGTCTCAGATTAGTGAACTCCTACAGGACTTGTCTTTATCTGGCTGGCATATTTCACGTAACTGAGTAATGTCCACAAGGATATATGTTGTATGTTCATGTATGTGTCCAAATGTATATTTTTGAGCTGAATAATATTGCACTGTCTGGAGCACATTTTGCTTTTCCATGCATCTGTTGATGGGTTGTTTCTGCCCTTTGGCTCTGGTGACTAATGTTGTGGTGAGCATAGCTGTGCAAGTATTTCATTGGGACTTACCTGTCTAGAGGTGGAATTGCTGCATCATTTGGGACTTCAACCTGAGGTTTGTGAGGGATGGATCTACTGTTTTCCGTAGTGCCTGCACACTTCCACATCCACCCTGCCAAGGTACAAGAGTCCCACATCCTCGCAACTGGGGTGTTTTCTGTGCACCTGTAGAGAGCAGGCACATGCCTCTTGTTTTGCTGTCAGCTCGCCCCACTCTCTTCTTTTGTTTCCCAATGTTTGTTTTTCTCTTTTTCTTCCCTGTGGGAAACCTAAAGCTCCAGACAGTTTTAAGGTATTTTTAGGTTCTTGGAAAATAGTGAGGAGGCGTGACCCACCAAAGCTCAAAGTTCCACTGCAATCATTTTGTCATTGCTTCCTTAAACATTCACTCACTCACTCATTCATTCTGAAAGTGACCTGCTCACCCCTGGTCTGTGACCTCTGATTTAAGTTTAGCTTGGTCCACACAATGGTGGCCCACAATATTTGGGTCGAGGAGAGTGGAGTTTTGAAAAATAGTCATTTTTATTTGAAAGGCACGGTTAGAGAGAGAAGGGGAGACAAAGAGAGAGAAAGAGATCTTCCACCTGCTGGTTCACTCCCCAAGTGGCTGCATTGGCTGGAACTGAGCCAAACTGAAGCCAGGAGCCAGGAGCTTCTTCTGGGTCACTCAAGGACTTGAGCCATCCTCTCAAGCTATAAACGGGGAGCTGGATCAGAATTGGAGCAGCTGAGACTTGAATTGGCACCAATATGAGATGCTAGTGCCACGGGGAGGGGCTTAGCTTACTAATATTCCACTGCACCAGCCCCAGAAGAGAGTAGATTTTTAAAAAAACATTTCAGTTGCCTATACTGAAAAACTGATAGACTTGACAGATTTTAGATTTTTCGCCTCTCTTTCAAAAATCAAAAAGAAGGACTAGCAACGTTGACTTCACAGTCCTGCATGGCCAGGTCAGCTGGGACTCAGTGGAACCTGACACACTGCCCAATATGCCTCAGGTCCCCCCATTTTTTATTGTCTCACACACCAAGCCCTCTCCACTCACACTTGTTACCAACCTGATCCATGAATATTTCCACCAAAGAAATGGAAAGGGAGCAACTGTGGCATGGCGCAGCCCAGGACCTTCAGGCTGCAGAGCCGTTCTGCCTGGGCACCCATCCAGTATCCCGTACGTGTCACCTGTGTGACCCTGGGCAGTGGCAACGTCATAGAA